CTGGGGCCCTGGGGGAAAAAATAAATAAATAAAATCTTTAAAAATATATATATATATGTGTATATATATATATATATTAAAAATAGAATTACCTTGTGATCTAGCAATTCCGCTTCTAGGTATATACTCCAAATGAAATCAGGGCCTCAGAGACATTTATATACCCATGCAACATTATTCACAATAGCCAAAATGTGGAAGCAACCTAAGCGTCCCTCACAGATGAATGAATAAACAAAATGCGGTATATACATACAATGGAGTATTATTCAGCCTTAAAAGGAAAGAAATTCTGGCACATGCTACAACATGAATGAACTTTGAGAACATTAAGCCAGTCACAAAAAGACAAATATTGTATGATTCCACTTATATGGAATCATCCACTTATATGGAGGTACCTAGATTAGTCAAATTCATAAAGACAGAAAATAGAACTGTGGTTGCTGGGGGAGAAGAGGAGGGAGAATTATTGTTGGGGTTTTTTTGTTTTTCTTGTTTGTTTGTTTTTTTAGTGAGGAAGATTAGCCCTGAGCTAACATCCATTGCCAATCCTCCTCCTTTTGCTGAGGAAGGTTGGCCCTGGGCTAACATCTGTGCCCATCTTCCTCCACTTTATATGGGACCCTGACCACTTGATAAGCGGTCAGTAGTTCCGCGCCTGGGATCTGAACCTGTGAACCCCGGGCCACTGAAGTGGAGCATGTGAACTTAAGCTACACCACCGGGCCAGCCCCTTTGAGCTAATTTTTGTACACAGTATAAGGTAGAGGTCCAAATTCATTCTTTTGCAATGTGGATATCCAGTTGTGCTGGCATTATTCGTTGAAAAGACTGTTCTTTCCCCCATTGAATTGTCTTGACACCCTTGTCAAAGATCAATTGACCATAAATGAAAGGGTTTATTTCTGGACTCTCAATTCTATTCCATTGATCTAAATATCTATCCTTATGCCCGTACCACACTGTCTTGGTTACTGTAACTTTGTAGTAAGTTTTAAAACCTGGAAGGATGAGTCTGTCTGTCTGTCTGTCTTTCTTTCTTTCTTTCTTTCTTTCTTTCTTTCTTTCTTTCTTTCTTTCTTTCTTGTTTTGAGGAAGATTGGCACTGAGCTAACATCTGCTGCCAATCTTCCTCTTTTTGCTGAGGAATATTGGCTCTGAGCTAACATCTGTGCCCATCTTCCTCTATTTAGTATGTGGGATGCCACCACAGCATAGCTTGATGAGCAGTGCATCTGTCTGTGCTCGGGATTCGAACCTGTGAACCCTGGGGCTGCCATAGAGGAGAATACAAACTTAACCACTATGCCACCAGGCCAGCCCCTGAGTCTTTCAAACTTGTTCTTCTTTTTCAAGATTATTTTTTGTCTATGCTGGGTGCTTTGCATTTTCATAGGAATTTTAGGATCAGCTCAGCAATTTCTGCAAGAGAGCCAGCTGAGGTTTTGATAGCTATTGCATTGAATCTATAGATCAATTTTGGGAGTGTTGCCATCTTAACAATATTAAGTCATTGGCTCTATAAATGTAAAATGCCTTTTATTTATTTTTTCTTGCCTGATCTTAGGGAAAGCATTAAGTCT